TTCATTTTATTTTTAACGGGAATTTGATAGTTGCTAGTGTTTGGCTTCCCTGGTGGCTCAGATGGTAAAGTGTCTGCCTATAGTGTGGGAGACGTGGGTTCGATCCCTGGGTAAGGAAGATCCTCTGGAGAGGGAAATGACAACCTACTCCAGTACTCTTGCCTGGAAAATTCCATAGACGGAGGAGCCTGGTGGGCTACAGTCCATGGGGTTGCAAAGGGTCGACACGACTGAGCGACTAAACTAGTGTTTAGCTAAAGTTGCTATAGTCATTCTTTGAAATATATTTTGTGTTTATGAGAGTCTGAGTTTCACATCCTTGCCAAAATTTGATACTATTTTTGTAAATATAGTGAGTTGTAGTATTTTTTTATGGTGTTACTTTGTATTTCCCTGATCATTAATAATCCTGAACACCTAAAAACCTTTTCATGAACTTATTTGCCATTTGGAAATCTTTTGTCCATGCGTTTTGTGTAGTTTGGTCCTTTTTATTACTGTGATTATTGCCTTTTCTTTCAGATGTAATTTCCTTGTTTACTATAAGTATTCTAAATATAATACTTTATATTTGGTAAAGTATATAATACTAAGCATAAATATTCTTCCTTTCTTAAGTTTGCCTTTTAATTCTCTTAACGCTGGCTTTGTTGCTGTTGTTTGGTTGCTCAGTCATGTCCGACTCTTTGTGACCCCGTGGACTGCAGCCTGCCGGGCTTCCCTGTCATTCACCACCTCCTGAAGCTTGCTCAAACTCATGTCTGTTGAGTCGGTGATGCCATCAAAGAGTTGCGTCATCTGCGGCTCCTTTCTCCTCCTGCCCTCAATCTTTCCCAGCATCAGGGTCTTTTCCAGTGAGTCAGTTCTTTGCATCAGGTGGCCAAAGTATTGGAGCTTCAGCTTCAGCATCAGTCCTTCCAATGAGTATTCAGGACTGATCTCCTTTAGGATGGACTGGCTTGATCTCCTTGCAGTCCAAGGGACTCTGGAGAGTCTTCTCCAACTCAACAGTTCAAAAGCATCAATTCTTCAGTGCTCAGCTTTCTTTATGGTCCAACTACCACATGCATATGTGACTACTGGAAGAAAACCAAAGCTTTCACTATATGGACATTTGTCGGCCAAGCAGTATGCTGTCTAGGTTTGTCACAGTTTTTATTCCAAGGAGCAAGCATCTTTTATTTTCATTGCTGTAGTCACCATGTGCAGTGATTTCGGAGCCCAAGAAAATAGAGTTTTGGTGAAGTAGAAAATATTAGCTTTATTACTTTGCCAGGCAGAAGGGGACAGAGTGAGCACCTACCCTGGAAAACAGGTCCTGTCCACACCTGGGAGGAATTGGCGAGGGGTTTTATAGCAGTGGTTCAAGGTTGGGGCTTGGTTCAGTGGTTCAGTAGTTCAAGGCTAAGACTAGGGTTTGTGGTGGGCCTGCACTCCTTTCATTTGGTCTCAGGTAACCTTTTGAAGAGCTTCTCTGGTTCCTTTAATCTGGCCTCAGGTGGTCTTCTCTGGAATGAAGAATCCTTACATCATCCAGTTGTTGGCTAGAGCTCAGAGATATTGTTATGTGTCTCTCTTGAGGGGAACCAGGACCTTGCCTCAAGGCTGCACTATTGTTTCTTGGCTGTCTTATCTCTGCATCTCTTCCCTTCCTTGATTAGCAGCTGTTTGAATCTGCAGTTTGGGACTCAAGAAAGGTCAGGGAGGGTAGAGTCTGTTCCCTACAAAGAACAAGGGCAGGGAAAGGCTTTCATACCCAGAAGCTCCACTGAGTCCTGCTTGGTTTCACCATGAAACTTTAGTATTTTGGTTTTCTGTAAGTTGGCTTTCGTTCTTTTGGTGTTGTCTGTTATTCTACCTCATCATTGGTGATTTCAGAAACTTCTGGAGTATTTTTGATTTTCAATTAGAGAAATTAGAGATACCAAGGGAACTTTTCATGAAAAGATGGGCTCAATAAAGGACAGAAATGGTATGGACCTAACAGGAGCAGAAGATATTAAGAAGAGGTGGCAAGAATACACAGAAGAACTCTACCAAAAATATCTTCATGACCCAGATAATCACGATGGTGTGATCACTGATACTCACCTAGAGCCAGACATCCTGGAATGTGAAGTCAAGTGGGCCTTAGGACACATCACTACGAACAACGCTACTGGAGGTTATGGAATTCCAGTTGAGCTATTTCAAATCCTAAAAGATGATGCTGTGAAAGTGCTGTACTCAATATGTCAGCAAATTTCGAAAACTTAGCAGTGGCTGTTCTGCCCGATGTCCAAACCCCTGAGGGGGAAGAGAGAGCTTCCAAGACAATGCAATA